AAAATCATTATTATTCAACACTTTACAACATTTTTAATATTATTATTTTTTTATTTACAGTCGCAACTTGGTGAAGCCTGGATTTAAAAAAGTAGAGGTTTATTTGATGTAACCATGGGAGCCTTTGATGGCGCAGAAGTTTGTGAGTTAGTTGGAATATATTATCTTGTTTCAATTATCGCAATTTTACAATAAAGATGGATTTGGATTGTATAGAGTTGATGGTCTAGCAGTTTTTAAGAACCGGAATGGTCAACTGATGGAAAAAATTAAAAAGCATTTTGTGAAATTTTTTTAAAATAATGATCTTCATATATCCATCAGCTGTAGTTTTAAAGTTGTTTATTATCTGGACTTAACGTTAAATCTTAGTGACAGTTCTTTCCAACCTTACTGCAAACCTGGTAACTCCATCAGTTATATAAATGCTGACTCTAACCACCCTACTAAAAAACCTTCCTCAAACTATAGAACTAAGATTGTCAACCAATTCTTCTAATGAAAATATTTTCAAACAATCTATTCCTCTTTATCAAGATGCATTATCTAAATCAGGTTTTATCTTTTTCGCTTACCATTCAAAATAAAAAGCCGATCCAATTCAAAAATCACAAGCGAAGCATAATCTGGTACAACCCACCTTTCAGTACCAATGTTGCAACAAAAATAGGCAGTTGTTTTTTGAACATGGTAGGCCTGCACTTTCCGGTTGGTCACAAACTTTGTTAGATATTTAATTGAAATACCATTAAAATAAGCTACTCATGTATGCCAAATATCAAGTTGATCATTAATTTGCACAATCACAGGATATTATATAGCCAAGATAAAGATGAGGGAAAAACATGCAACTGTGTCAACAAATCCATCTGTCCCATGAACAATCAGTGCTTGACAAAAAACATCGTTTATCAAGCCAATGTTTTGTCAAATAAACCTGACTACAAAGAAAAAGTATATTTTGGCTTATGTGAAACTCCATTCAAATCTCGGTATGCTAATTACCTAAAATCTTTTAACATTAATAAATATAAAAACGATACAGAGTTGTCTAAAGAAATTTGGCACATAAATGACACTCTTAATTAAGTGATTAAATGTGATGTGATTAAGTGATTAAATGTGATTAAAAGTGATAAAAGACACTCTTAATTAAGTGAAAAAACGTTGCAATACTTATAAGGCCTCGTCAAAAATTTGCAATCTTTGCTTATTCAAAAAATTCCTTATTTTAACATCTAAAGGTGATAACCTATTACATAAACGAAATGAGTTGATTTCAAAATGCAGACACAAGAATAAATTTTTTTATCTTTTTTTGACACCAGTGATTAGCTAATATTTTGTTTTTTCTGTAGTTGCCATCAAGTATGTTTTAGCGACGTAAAGATCCCACTACACAGTATTTTGTAATTTTTAGCCGGTTTTTTTGTTTTTGATTTTGTATTCAATGGCTGATGATTGCTGTATAGGCATGAAACTTTAAGTACCATAGAAAAAGTTGTTTTATCTTTGTTAATATATATACATATATATATATATATATATATATATATATATATATATATATATATATATATATATATATATATATATATATATATATATTTTCTTTGTGATATAATATATCTTTGTGTATATTTTTAAAATTTTAACAGAATATACTCAAAAGCATTCTCTATTCAAATATATTTTTAAATAGTTCGTATGATTTGTAGTTAAAAAAATATCACGCTATAATGTATGAAGATCTAAAATCCATTTTGTATAAATACTATCAAAAAAACCATGGACTGGGGCGAAAACATATTTTTGATAAATTTATCAGCATGGGAGCTCCAAAAAGGACTTTAAATCATTGGCTTAGCATGCTGGAACAAAAGGCTGCTCACAGAAAAGAGTAGCTAGCAAGCTAAAAATGACCCAGCAATACGTTTCAAAGATGCTATTTCAAAGAACAAATATCAGATGTCTAAAACGCACCGTCAAACCAAAGATGACAGCCTTTCAAGTCATGTTAGCAAGGCCAAAGTGTGGACGACTTTTCCTCAAATTTCGTGATGTCGATTTTATTTTGGATGATGAATCGTACTTCACTCTTTCCAACACAACTTTGTCTGGGAATGACCGATTTTACTCAGATGATATTCAAAAGACTCCTACTGATGTGAAGAACAAAATGAAGGCAAAATACGAGTCAAAACTACTTGTTTGGGTGGCAGTTTCACCTCGAGGAATGAGTAGTGTCAAATTTTTCAAGTCTGGCCTGGCAATCAATCAATATATTTACCGTGACGAGTGTATACGAAAGAGGTTGATTCTTTTTATTAACAAATACTATAGGGATGGTAAATACGTATTCTGGCCCGATTTAGCTAGCTCCCACTATGCAAACTCAGTCCACGCCGACCTCAGAGACAAAAAAGTCAATTTTGTACAAAAACAAGACAACCCAGCAAACGTCCCGAAAGTCAGGCCAATTGAGGAGTTTTGGGGATTTTTGAAGCAGAAAGTGTATGAGAAGGACTGGCAGGCTAAAACTATCACTCAACTCAAAGCTAGAGTCAGTCTTTGCCTTTGTAATTTGGACAAAGACCTTATACACCGCACCTTCAGCTCGGTACACAAAAGACTCGATTTTGTCAGAAGGAATGGAATCGAAAAACTTTAAAAGTCATTTTTTCTAACACTAAAAATTGTTGTTTATAAAATGCAAAAAACCGTTTTAAAAAAAATTGTAAAATGACTGAGATATCTTGTTTTAAAAGTTAGGTAAAATTTTATTTGTGACCCGTTATATATATATATATATATATATATATATATATATATATATATATATATATATATATATATATATATATATATATATATATATATGTTATGCAAAAATCGTGAAATCGCTCATTTCATGAGCGTTGCGATATTTTGCTTATTTCGTGAAATGGATAGTGCTGTCGCACAGATTGTGAAATGTAAAATTTCTATTGCTTTTTTTTTATACATACTCTGCGTAATAAATATTATTTATAATAAATATATGTTTTTTTAATTAATAGACACCTGCCCAACCCAAATCCTCAGTTGATGTAGCAGCACTCTGTTGCGAGTCAGGTTATAAGATAGTTGATGTAGCAGCAATCCGTTTAAGTTGCAATTTTTTATTTAAGTCAATATTAATATTTATTATACATATATTATACAATATTATTATACACGCATTATATTGTATACATATGCCAATAAAACGCTACTTTTATTGCTGACTTAAATCTACACATTTTTTTAGAAAATATAAGAAAGAAATAATTGCTGCCTCAACCCAAACCCTTGGTTAATATATCAGCACTCCCTTGAATTTCTACCTTGATAGAAGCCCTATATCAGTATGATATCATATTGCTTAGTTAAATATGCAATATTATGTTTATATAAATATATATATATATATATATATATATATATATATATATATAATATATATATATATATATATATATATATATATATATATATATATATACATATGTATAAATATATATATATATATATATATATATATATATATATATATATATATATATATATATATATATGTATGTACATACATATATATATAAATATATATATATATATATACACACATATATATATTATATGTATGTATGTATGTATGTATGTATGTATGTATGTATGTATGTATGTATGTATGTATGTATGTATGTATGTATGTATGTATGTATGTATGTATGTATGTACATACACACATAGTTGTTACATACATAGTTGCATAGAAACACTAGTTAAGTGTGGTAGTATTACCGTTAGGTTCAAACTTAATACCTTTTAATTATAATGTGTTTACTTCAAAGGCATTTAGTGTCTTCACATCAGAAAGTCTTTTTAACTTTGACCAGCTTTTCATAAGTATGTTTTTTTTAGTATTGACTAGCTTTATGTAACAAAACATTTTTTAAAAAGGATTTTTCTATAATGCTTTAAAAAACGAAAGACAGCTGTCTCAGCTGGCAAAAATTTTATTTTAAAAATATTACTTATTTTAAAATAATAATAATTATTATAATTTTTAGGTAATCTAATTTTTAGAGAAATATAAGCTAAACATTAATTTTTAAAAAAATATTTTTTGAATAAGTAAAAACATAACTGCAGCAGAGTACCATATAATTTTCTATTAAGTGATATTTTAGTCAGATTTGTACAGACTGTCATCAGACATAAAATGCCAATTTAAAAACCATTAAAAAATAATAATAACAAATTATTAAAACCATAAAGAAATCATTAAAAAGACAACATCAATAAAAGTTAGTTATGTAGTTATAAAAAAATAATAACTATTAGTTATTAAAATTAGTTAATTTAGTTAAATTGAAATTAATTAAGCGCAAGCATATTAGGAGGTTAAACAATCCCTTTTATTAATGAACAGGGATAACAGGGTAAATATTGCTTTAAACAGGAGAACACTATTGGAAAAAATCATAAAAAATCAATTTTTATTACATCGTTTTTGTAATGGCTTCTTTATGGTTTTTGATATTTCATTTTGTAATGGTTTTTAAATTGGTGTTTAATGTCTGATGACAGTCTGTACAAATCAGACAGTAATATCACTTAAAAGAAAATCAATTAGTACGCTGCTGTTTTTATGTATTATAACTTAGTATAATTTTACATACAACAAGAAATATCACTAAATATATTTTTTGCTTATATTTTAAAAACGATTGTCTATGTAAGTTCTTTGTAACTAAATGCACTTCCATTATTTTTAAAATAATTTGTTTCTCTACCTTTCTAAAAAACGTGTGAAAGTATATGATAAATTTAATTTGATTTTTAAATCATTCTTGATTACTCTGTCTAGAAAATATTTTTTTTTTGTATTTAATCATAATATTTATTTGCAAATAAAAGAAACAAAATTTTAATGACCTTTTAAAAATAAATTTTTACCTTGACTTCAATATAATTAGGTATGTGAAAAGAAAAGAAGAAAAAAGAATCGAATCAGAAAATAATCTCAAGTATGTTAATCTTTAAAAGTTTATTAAATATTCGAAAAGTATTTTTAGTTTTTGAATATTGATCAAAAAAATTTTTTATTAGTATATATATCTTTTATAAATATATATATATATTTTATAAGTACATCCTGTACATCCCTACTTGATGCTGAAAATGGTCAACAATGTTGACTATTTAGAATACCAAGTAACAGCTGTTTTCTGTTAAACTTCATTTTTGTTGTTAAAAAGTTTTATAGCAATTTCTATAGAAATTAATAGACATTTTATATAAATTCTATAGAGTTTCTATAGGCCATATGTTTAAAAATTTAGAGAAATTCTATAGAACTTTTTTTTCCGTGATGTTGTCACTCCGCTAAAGTAGTGAATCAGCGTGTCTGTATATTTCTGATTCTTCCAGATATTGGCTTAGCTGAGTGTCAATGCTTGTTGGTAATTGTTGTTCATGTACTGTGCCACAAGCGGGCATATTTAAAACTTATATAGCTTAGAAGTGTTTAGAACTTTAGAACATTTTGGAAAATAACAGAATATTTTAGAAGACTTTAGAACATTCTAGAACAATTTAAAATATTTTGGAACATTCTAGAACAATTTAGAACATTCTGGAATATTTTAGAACATTTTAGACTATATGTATAGCTGCTCATCTAATATTATAGTTATTACAGAAGCAGCACATGGCGTTGTACAAGCGATAGTAGGATTAAGAAGAACAAGATGTCTGGACCAATAATCTGGTAAAATTTGAAGACTCTTATAAAAGAAGAAGAATGGTCCCTTTAGAAAAATATTCACTGAAAGAAAAGTGCAGAATGCTTCTCCAAAAGCAAATTATCGGGCGCTACCATTTCCAAAAATCAAAGGGAGAAAGGAACAAATAGCGGAAATTTCCAAAGAAGTCACCAAAATGTGGAAGAATAAACTAAATTTTCCTCATGTATCTGATCAAGTTATACAAGCAAAGCTTGATAAAATACTGAAATGTTATGATGAATGTGTTAAGCGGGGAAGCTACGAAACCCTTGATAAAAATTTTGATATTACTAAAGTGGATGGAACATAGTTATCTTCCGAGGACAAGCAATTGTACCATCTCCAAGTGGAAAGCAAAGGAACTGTGGGATACTCTACAAGCCATGCGGCTAATAAAGAAATGATCCATCCCTCTAAAAGACAAAAACTTTCTAATGAGGAATCCAACTCATCGTCTTACTATCCTGGTTTTAGTGATTCTGACACTGAGGCTGACGACAGTGAGTATAACAACAATGAGGAAGAAGATGAGACAACTCCTACACCAAGCAGAAAACATCATAAAATCAAAATTGCAGTCGACTTGGTGACCTCCACAAGAGTATCAACAAACAAAGCTGCTAACATATACAAGCAACTGGCTCATGAAGGCATTGACGTCCCATTGTAAATAGCGGATTAACAAGTCCATGTCAATCAGCTATTTACAAGTCAATAATCAAAGAGGCAATCAGGCTGAAGGAAGAAATGATTGAAAAGTTGCATATGGAAAGTTGGTCTTTTGATGGCAAGCACGTCGACAGAACGGATTATCAAGTGGTTGTCCTTAAAAATGAAAGAAGAGAAATCAAATTGGATGTCCTTGGCTAGGTAGATGGCAGGGCGTTTACTATTGCTCAAGGAATTTCTAAAGTCCTCGATGAATTTCACCTATGTAATTCAATACAGATGATTGTTGCAGATACCACCAGCGTTAACACTAGAAAAAAGAATGATGTTGTTGTAATATTGCAACAAATATTCACAGAGAAACGCATCAATAAACCTCAGTTTAACAGTTGTCAACACCATGTATTTGATAGAATCCTTCATTTGGTGATGGATGAAGAACTTGGAAGTAAAACACAATCGTCAAACATCGAATATCCATTTGTATCTCAACTGTTGAAGGAGTACGAACAATTGAAAACACAATTTGATAATGGAACAGAAGTAATGCTCTAAACATCAGGCTGGAGAGATGATATGAATTTTTTGTTTCATCTCACTTGAGTGTTCCGATTTTTTGAGGAAAAGGGACATTTTCCATTGATCAGGTTTCAGAAAATACCTAACATCAGCATTGCGAGGTGGAACTCTAAAGCTATACTAGGAATCCTGGCCTTCATTTTAATTCCTTCATCAAGGATAGTTATGCAGAGAACTGTCCTTGTTGAAGGTCGATTTATATCGTATGGCTGGGCAGACCATTGATTTACAGACCAACTGTACAACGAAAACGACTTTAATGAACGACTTGGCTGAAATACTTAATCGATACATAAAGACTTTAAGCTCTTTAAAAAATCTACAGATACCCAGAAGTAATCAATGCGTAGGGTGCGCAATCAAAGTAATGGAGGAAGTTTATTCATCATGCAAAAAACAGATTACACCTTCAATTTCTTCTGTGCAACAAGCCAACAGTCCTAGTCATTCTTGGATTGAAAATTTATTGTATTACATGACTATGACATTCTAAATACAATTGAATGCATAGTAGTACTTATGTCAATATATATATATATATATATATATATATATATATATATATATATATATATATATATATATATATATATATATATATATATATATATATATATATATATATATATATATATATATATATATACATAAAACAGACTGTGGCTAAGCGAGCTCCCTGCCTTGATAGTTTATTATGTGGGTTATTAGCATTTGCTTTTTTGATGTTTTTATAAACAAGATCATGAAGATATTAAAATAAATTGGTTATTTAGATTTTGATAGTTAAACTGTTTTGTTTTGTTTTCTTTCAGATTGTTGCGCTTAATTTCTATTTGTTTTCGATTTACTCTGTTGTAATTCTGCTTTTTTTTGTTCCAATGTATTTCTTTACTCAGTTTTTTCAGTTTCATGTTCAGTTTGTTCTATTTTTATTTTGTTTTGTTCAATTTTGTTCTATCTTTATTCCATGGAACATCAAATAGACAAATTTTTAAATATTTTTTATTTTAAAATTAAAAAAAAAAAAATACAAAATACCGAATTTTTTTACTCTGAACGCTTTCAAAATCATAGATTTCTATTAACAATTTTGCTGCTCAAACTATATATTTATATGAGAAAAATAAGTAATGCAATTTTATTTGTGTTTTATATATTTAATTTTTATTTTACTAAGTTATTTACAACCAATAAAAGTCCAGTACCAAAAAACAGTATGCTAAAACAAAGATCTTCTGCCTGGAAGTATTTCACAGAATCATACAATTGTGTAAAAGTCATTTGATGAAGCAAAATGTACCCAGTGCAGTTTAATGAAATGAAAAAGTTTGAGTACATCTGGTCTAATTGCCCACATGTGAACCTTCCATAGCATGATATTTAAAAAAAAAAAGGAAAGTTAGATAAAACATCTGTTGCAGAAGTTCCAAAAAAACAAATGTAAGTAGACAGATTTGTTACACCTGAAACTTTAGCTGAGTTTTTAATTGCCGCAAAGTATGGTATGTCTTTCAACGATTTGAAATCCCATGCAATACATAAGTTTATTCAGAAACATGGTTTTTCCAAATGCCAATATGTCAAACCACAAAGTTTAGTCACAAAGATAAAAAACAGTCACAAAGATAAAAAACAGTCACAAAGATAAAAAACAGTCACAAAGATAAAAAACAGTCACAAAGATAAAAAACAGTCACAAAGATAAAAAACAGTCACAAAGATAAAAAAGCAAGAGGTGTGTGACAAAATTTCTGTTTTGAAAAAATATGGTAAAAGATTCAGGATAATGGTTGATGAATGAGCGGACATCCCCAATGACAGGTATATAAACGTTACTCATCACAATAAAGTTACTTGTAGATTGGGTCACGTTAAAATTGATAGTTCCTGTGGTGCTTTCACAACTGAAGAATTAGTAAAACAAAAATTGAGAGGCCTTTGTTAATGATGCTGTTAAAGATTTTCCAAAATCTTGAAACTGAACACAAGCAAGGGTCAGAAACAAGACATAATTCAAGGAGTGAAGGTAAATGATTAAGGTCTGTGAAACGAGTCACAGAGTAAGCTATCTGAGTAAGAGATTGAGAAATACAGAAGTTATGTGCTTTAGTGCCAGCAGGGTCAGTGGTGTTAGAGTCAAGCCATTAAGTGAGATGAGCATTAAAGGCACCAATAACATTAATATTGGCAGAGAGGTAAAGAGAAATGGGATGGTTAGTTTGATCAGAAATTACGTCTAAAAGCTTTGAGAAAAAAGAGAAGGATAAAGAAAAAGAGAAAGGTGATAGAGTGATTAGGTGCTAAGCAGAAGCACATAAATCTGATTTCTCAACAAAATTATATCTTTTGGCAAATATTGCTCCATATAAATACTAAAGTTTATATAAATATGAAAGGATATTGTATGCTAGCATCTAAATAAATAGCAAGCATATATGTTTATATCCATAGTATGTATGCATAAAGCATATCTCAGAAGCTTTTATTCCTTATGGACTAAAAGTTTGGAAGCTTTTATCCCTACTCTTCAATTTTAAGTCAAACCTCATTCTACTCTATACTCCTAAAAACAAATGTCCTTTTATTATTCCAAAAAGCCAATGTAAAAAGGTCCCATCTGATGTTAAACTTTGTTATTCTCAGCCTACTATATCTTATATCAGATGTTAGGTTCTAGAGACTTTTAATTAGTCTTCAACAATGTTATTAACTAAAGTAAGTCTAACATTAACTCTAATTCATTCTAACAGTAACTCTAATTCATGGGTCTGTTTAATCTTTTTACTTCTCCCCAGAACAAAGCAGAGTTGTTTGCAAAGAAATCTTACTCTAATTTGACTCTTGAATCTAATAGCCATACTATTCCTGCCAGTTAAACAGATTAATCCATTGTTGAACATCCAAATCACTCTGGATTCGAATGCTTAATAAAGTTAATTCTCGATTGAACTTTTCTGCAGTTTGTGCTTCAGAAAAGATTTCTTAAAAAAGTTTTCTCCAGAACTCTCTTCAATTTTCACCAAGTTTTTAAAAAGTACTAAATAAGTGTTTCCAATTTTTTAAAACTCTAGAAAACATTTTGACCTCTCCAACTATCTATTTATATATTTGTCTTCTCGCTGTTATTAGTTTCTTTATAAAAAAGTTTTGAGGTTATTAAATTTTTTCTTATTAACTGCAGTAATAAAGTTATTCTTGAAGGCCTACACTCTTCTTTACTTCAAGTAACCTTAATGAAAATTTTACATCTAAAGTGGCTCTATTTGTTGACGACTCAACTTTATTCTCTTGTCTTCACAAAAAATCTTAACTTTTTGATTGCTCAGAGCAAGCAGCTAATTTTTATTTGGATCTCTCTTCTGTAACAGCCTAAGGCTTGTTGTGGCTTATGGATTTAAATTCTGGACTTAAAATCTGCAATTTTTGTTAGACAACAATTCACTTCTATTTACTGCCAAAAAAAATTGCAATTTTTTTTGATGAATAACAACCCTCTTACTCTCAGACAAAGTCTAAAAGCACATTGTAAATGTAATGCGGTAGTGGTGTAGTAGTAGAGCGCTTGGGTCATAAGCAAGAGGTTCCAAGTTCGATACCCACCATGTCCCTGGTAGTACTGCACTCAACTTTTTTCTCTGCGCAACAGTTTTGGTTGTCAAGGTTTATTTTTCGCAGTCATATAGTTGAGAAAGGGTTATAACCACAGTTAAGTAGCCTCCTTGTCTGTAGTGGAGTTTTCAGCCTCAGTTAACATAAATAATAATAATAATTAGTTAGACCTGCTTTATCTGCCAAGCCTGAGCCACTCTCCCATTGTTGTAAGGTTGCATTTCTTTATTTTTCTACAAATACAATCATGGTCAATGCTCAAACAAGCTATCATCTCTATTACGCTAAACCAAAACTCATTCTTGCTTGTTTCTTATTCAAAAAGAGTCATTCTTTTACTGTATCTGTCCCTTCGTGCTATAAAAACTTTTATTAATCCAGTTTTTTTCTTTGCACATCAAAAAAACCTTATAACTATTAGCCATCTTCATGTTTTTCTTTTATATACAACCTACAACTTTTTAAGTCTTCAGCTAACAATTTCCTAGTATTTTTACTTAATCTCTATTTTAAAGTAACTCATAACTTAGTAGTGGTTGCTTGCAATCTTGTTGGAAGTAAATTAGAATTTAAAATTATATAAATATGTTTAATAAATAGTAAATGTAAGCATAAAATTATAGTATTTAAATTATTATAAATTTTTTTCTAGCCCTGTCTTTCAACCCTTGCTAAATCCTATAGTTTAGCCGGGGCCAAAGCTGGGTTTGAAAAAAGTCTCATTTTTTTAGCTGGGGCCAGGGCCCCGGTCACTTACTAGGCATGATTTGAGAACTTAGCTCATTCATAGATAGAGCAAGGTAGGTGAAGCAATAAGCTATGCAGTTGTCTCAGTCCTGCTAAGTAACCCAAAGTCATAACTTAGGCCTCCTTATATGGCCTCAGCAATGCACACCAAAAGCATAAAAAGAGACACCATTCATGAGCAACTTGGCACTGTTAATACTCTTTTTTTTTTAAAGCTGTTGATGGAGTTATTCTCTCTGAGAGCTACACAGAGTTAGGAAACTTTACCATGAGCCGGCCTCAGAACCATTAAATTGAGCTTTAGAGCTGTACCCCCAATAGGAGATAACAGGAAGAATTACATAGCCACTATTAAAAAGACACAAGCATAGATCTATGAGTATGACAATATCCAGCATTCATCATCCTAGGCAGGAAACAATGTAAGAGAATTATTTTATTTATCCCTAAAGTCTTTGCCTAGGAGACCTTTTACAAGACATTAGCTGGATCCAGTTAGCATTTGCCTAAGATAAATATTTTTACTGAACACCATTTTTAGCCTTTATTAAACCAAGATACCCAAGACAGGGGAATTCTAACTGGATGTAGTCAATATCAGCCCACGATGAATAGTTTTGCTTTAAACTGCTTTTTCAACATTGCAACAAATAGTTTTTAGTGGATTTTAAAGCTTCAGAAGATAATTTAAAAGTGTTAAAACCTATTGAATTTGGTGTTAGGGAGATTAGCAAGGATAACTCAACGGTTATGATCAGTGAAGGTGTTTATATATTTTTGTTACAAATCTTTCTGAGTAAATGTTTATTTTAAGTGTATTGATAAAATCACTAATCTCATCACTTAAAAAGTGTTATGATGAGCAACACAATAAAGATTTAGTGTCACTAATAAGGCATAGTGACTCTATAAGAGATATTTGCAAAACCCTTAAATCCCATATTTTATATGTATATATATATATTTTTTCAACATCTTCCAATAAGGCTGGAAGCAACGACTATTAGAGTTTGAAGTTACTGGAAGAGAAAAGATGAAGTTTATAGAGCAAGATAACGATTGACAGACAACTTAAAAGCAAAAGTATATATGAATCAGAAAAACAAGATGAAGGAAGCAAATTCCAAAGAACTGATGTTCAAGGAAAAAAACTAGACTGGGACAATTCATAAGTGCTCCAAAACTAAGAATTTATCTCAAAAAACTAAAAATTTTTCTCAAAAAACTAAGAATTTTTCTCAAAAAAATCTAAGAGTTTTTGGAGCACTTTAGAATAGTCACAGAAAAAAAATGAGACTTAATTAAATGATGAATAACACAAGAATGAATTTTAGTAGATAGCACAAGACACAGTAGCTTTTTAGAGCAGCGCCCGTTATAGTATTTGTAGAAAAGAGAAAGAGAAGCAACATTACAATGTGACAATTAAATCTCAAATCCATCCTTATATTGTTCCATACAAGGACGGATTTGAAATTTATAGAGATAAAGAATAGAATCTAGAGTAAGAAAGTGTTAAGCACAATAGAGAGATTAAAATTTAACAGATTTTGCAGTCGATTTGATATATGGTTTCCAAGAAAGATTGGAAGTAAGAATTAATCCTAGAAGATGAAGGGTAGATGACTCATCATTTACATTACTGTTCATAAATATAGGAAGATCTAGATTATTGCGATGACAATTAGCTGATGTGAGTTTTATCTTATCTTAGTTAAAGTTTACCAGCTACTGTGAGCCCCATTCTGTAGCAGAAGTGAGATCCTTTTCAAGCTCAAATGCCCCTCCAAGCAATCAGAGAGTGTTGGCTTCTTATCAAGACAAGAAAAAAATGGAAGTATCATCAGCGAACAAATCCACCTTACTTGTGAGAATATCTGGAAGATCATTAATGTAAATTAAAAAACGTATAGGGCCAAGGGTAGAACCTTAAGGAATACCTAAAGTTTTTTTATTTTTATTTTTATATTTTACTTCACCTCCTCAAGGCCGAGAAGGCCACTACAGACGAGGAGGCTACTTATTTTGTGGCAATAACCCTCTCTCACGAACCTTGACAAACAAGGCCGCTGCGCAGAGAAACGAGTTGAGTGTGGTACTACCAGGAATGTGGTGGGGATCGAACTCGGAACCACTCGTTTATGAAGCGAGCGCTCTACCACTACACTACTACCGCATATATATATATATATATATATATATATATATATATATATATATATATATATATATATATATATATATATATATATATTTATATATTTTTTTGTAGTTGATGTAGAACACCTTCATCAAGTTTAAATATATATATATATATATATATATATATATATATATATATATATATATATATATATATATATATATATCATATATATATATATATATATATATATATATATATATATACTGTCCCACGTATATACCACGTCCCTGGTACTACCAGGAACGTGGTGGGGATCAAACTCGGAACCACTCGTTTATGAAGCGAGCGCTCTACCACTACACCACTACCGCATAATATATATATATATATATATATATATATATATATATATATGTATATGTATATTTTTTTTGTAGTCGACGCAGAACACCTTCATCAAGTTTAAAAAAAAATATATCACATAAAAGTGCATCCAAAAAGCCACCTGCTGGTAGAATGAATGGTATTTTTTATTAATATTGCTTTGTTTTAAAGTTTTTTTACATGCAATTTTTAAGTTTAAATTTATGTAGTATTTTATCTATTTTTCTTTAGCTTTACATATCTTTTGTTTTTTACTTTATTTATTATGAATACTACGTCATCTTTATCATGTGCTATTTTTTTATACTTTCAGTTCACAAACTTTTTCAATTTTTTTTTTTTTTTTTTTTTGTATGGTTGCCTTTTTGATAAATTTTGATGGCAGATTCCTTTTATCTTTAAAAAATCAAAACTTTAAACAAGTTTTAGAAAAACTAGGTATGGTTTATTTTTCATGGTCTGTTTAAATACATTTTAAATAGCAGATTTATTATTGTTATTCAACCTGTGCACAGTTTAGAAGTTCTTTTAGTTTAAATTTTTAGTTTTGCATGGTGTTTATTCAAACAGCCACAATAAAAAAATCAGCATGATACATGGATTCAAAACTTATTTTAAAAGTTACAATATGTAGTTAGAGAAGAAAGAGTTCATATTGTGAAAATTGTTCTTAAGCTCTATGGAAATAAATGCAAACAAACTAATATTAGTGATTATAGCCTTAGATGTTGAAGAACACCTGAAATTTCTAAAAATCTTTTTAACCTCATTGACTAAAGCAATAAATAAAAGTAACTGAGTCTTTGATATGAAATCTTACATTCGTCGTCATACATATTCAGTTGAAAGATGTGTTCATGGTTACAGAAAAAACTTACATTAAAAAACTGTCTGCTAAAAGGAGCTAAAAAGACTTTCTTAGATTTTTAAATTAGATTTTTTTTTTTACACTTTTTTTTTGGTGCATTTAAAAAATCTCTTTGTTTGTATATTTGATATTTAAATGTTTATATATTTTTAATTTAATATGTATCAAATATTTATTTAAGTAATATGAGTCTTCTCCTGAAATAAATTTATTTAAGGAGCTGATCTTTATATTAATTAAAAAAAATTATTTTATGAAAACACATTTGAAAGGATTTAAGTTAAATTATATTTTCAAACCCAGGTAAAAGTTTGTGCGAGTCTTTTTTTTGTTTAGTGCAAAATTTCTTAGGAATTGCCACAAGTATTTTAGTAGTGATTTGTTTTAGGAAAGGTATGCAAAACTTATGGTTTAGTTTTTCTTAAATATTTTAAACAGAGCTGTTTTTACCATTAGTATGGTGCTCCCAGAAGTCTTTGCAGTTTTATCCCAGAGTACCTGCCAAAGAGTTTTTAACTAGGAAGTTCAGACCTTATTCCTTAAAATTGTCTCTTATTGGGCTAGAAGTGGCCTCAAACCTTGGGCCTCTTGGTTCTGAGCCAGAACTCTAAATGCTGCGCCATGGCTGCCCATATTAAAGTGGCACCATTTTTTTATTATTACTATTTTAGGGGTTTTTAAGGATTTATAAGGAAATAGAAATGAAATTGTTTACAAAAAAAATCATTTCTATTTTTATTATTTGTAGCACTGCTAATAATAAATTTAACAACAAAATTTTTTTATTTTAATGTTAATTTACCTTCCCAAGGTTGAGAAGGCTACTACAGTCGAGAAGGCTACTTTAATTGTGGTTACAACCCTCTCATAACTCTATAACTCTAAAACATGAACTTTGGCAAACAAGGCCCCTGTGCTGAGAAAAAAGTTTAGCACTACCAGGGACGTGGTGGGGATCGAACTCAGAGCTTCTCACTTATGAAGCAAACGCTCTATCACTGCACCACTACCGCAATACTTAAAAAAGGCTCAAAAATGAAGGAGAATGTTTTACCTCAAGCCAGAATAAGGGATTCAAAACCGTCAAGCAAGTTCTCTAAAGATGTGCGTCTATTAGTTTCTATACTGGTTATAAACATTAAAGCTTGAAAAAAATATTTAAACGCTTAACCATTAAAAATCTTTAGGTTATTTCTCTTAGTGTATTTAAGACTCAAATATTTTTAAAATTTATTTTCAAATTAACCACTTTACTAATAATGTTTCTGGTTGTTAGATTTAAATTTTCATATTGTATTTATATATTATTTTTGTTTTTATTTTTTTTACTAAAAGAAAAAAGGTTGTTTCTGTAAACTCTATTTTTTATTTTAAAACTCTTTTTCATTTTAAATTTAAAAAAAAAAACATTTTTTTATATTTTTTTAATTTTCTAAGATTTGTGTATTTTAGACAACAGTTATGCTAAAAAACACAGCAAGAAACATCTTTCAGCTGGAAGTGAAAATACAATTTTAAATAGTGCTAAGAGTTTATCTAAAAAGTAAGTTTATTTTTATATTAAAAATTTAAAGTATATTATTTTAGGGTAAAGCAATATAAATGAAATCATGGGAAAATTTTTTTTCTACAACAAAAGTATATATTATTTATTTCTGAACACAGATTACTAATAAATAAATATAGCTTTTTATGTGAGTGTTTATATTAAATCAATGTCTATTTTATACTTCTTATGTCCATGTTGTTGAGTTATGGAACAATACTATTTTTATTATATCAATTTTTATTATATTAATTTTTATTATATTAGTTATTTTAAAATGAAAACTTCATAATGATCATCGTTTACATCTTTTGGTAATTCTTTTTTCTATATTAAATATTTTCTTTTTCTAAATTAAATATTTTCTTTTTCTAAATTATATATATATATATATATATATATATATATATATATATATATATATATATATATATATATATATATATATATATATATATTTATATATATTTTTTTCAATTAAATACCCTTAAAGTATACCCTTAAAGGTATACTTTAATATAAATGGATTGCACTTTTTAAATCAAATTTTATATTTATTAAAGTTTTTTTAATTGTAGGTCATACAGAGGCAACTATAACATATATGACTCCGATCTATCTGAAGTATTTAATTAAATTTTTTTTTTTTGTTTATTAAGTTTTTTTTATTTTTATGTTAAAAATGTTTTTTTGCAATTTTAGGACGAAAAATCTCAACAGCTAAGAAGAAAATCAGAAAGTCCTGTTAGGAATAAATACTTGAATAATCTAGGTAAAATTCTTTGTTTATTTTACTCGTTTGTAAAATAATTTCATTTATATTATGGGGTTGTGGGAATCAGTAACAAAAAAAAATCAATTCACCAAATTTCCAACAGTTTTAGACTTTTGTCAGGTTAAGATCAGGACCATCATGATCATGCTAATCATAAAATTTAATCCAATACAATCTGTCACATGTCCTGCTGCTTTGTATGACTCACCTTTTCTAATTAAAGGCTAGGAGAAGTCAACTCTGACTTAAAATTTTTTTGAAGTCAACTCTGACTCATTTTTTTGAGGCTCATGGTTGACTAAAGGTAGTGTCTTGATAAAAATCTTTGACAGGTGCTAATTACATCTTACAGTAGTGTGACCAAAAGACTAAATTTTTTTCAGCTTTTAAAGCGTAGACTTTCACGAACTTTCTTAAATCAGCTGATATTTTTTACTAAATGTTCTCTATTTTAATTCAATTCATGATACGAACCAAAAAAATTAAAAATCATAAAAGTTATTATTTTTTTTTTTTTGAAAAGGCATCTGTGCAAAAGTTTAGAAAATTTAAGATGTCATTATGCTTTTTACCGTTACCTTAAAGCTTATTTGGATTCCTTTTGCAGTTTTTTTTTTTTTTTTTTTTTTTTTTTTTTAATGGTGGTTTTTGGACTGATGTCTATTGTTTCTTCACTTATAATAGCACTTTCTATTTAGTTTCAATTAGGCAGACATGAAGACTTTAATTCTTTTTTGTCTGTTTCTATCCTCTGGTTATCTCCTTCTTGTGCAAATTTATTAATGGTAATCATTTCTTCTATTTTTTTCACAAGAAAAAGGTGAAAAAAGTGAACAAATTCTCTTGCAAGAAATGGTTGCATAAAGAAATTGGCGCATAAAATTTTTGTTTGATGTCATTATTCTTAGGTTACTAAATCTTGTTTTTTATCTCAGAAGTTAAGCTTTTGAGACTTTTGATAAATCTTTAACCATGTCATGAATTTTTCATGCATGAATCTGATATTATTACCTTTTCAAAAGATATGGCTTTACAAGGAACATTTCCTCTAATTCGTTTCTTCTATCTAATAACTGCATCTCATCCCAAAGAAACAGGTAGAAAAAGTAGACTTGTAGTACAAATATCTTTTGAATGAAATTATATTAGTTTATGAGCTGTTAATTTTTGTTTACACTGTATTTATCAGGTGTTTATGTAATAACGAAAAAATACTTATAGTATCAATTTTATAAGTGTTTGCTTCATTGATTTGATTGGTTAATTTTATAGGTGTGTTTGGTAAATTGATTTGATTGGTTTATTTTATAGGTGCTTGCTACATTGAACTGATTGGTTAATTTTATAAATTAAATTAAAGTTAAATTGATATGATTATTAATTAAAATGATAAATAATTATATTATAGTAAATATAAAATTTCATAGTTTAAATTTTATGTTATTGAAATGAATTGTACCCAGTGCTAAAAGAAGGCAAAAAAAAGTAACGTGATGGTTTTCAGTAATTCATAAATACCACTTAACCTAAGCTTATTAGGTTAAGAGAGATATAAATAAACTGGCTTGGTGATCCTTTTAATTTTATCCTTTAAAATTAAAATTTTTATAATTTATCCTGGCCTCACTTTAAACACTGATTGTAATCTACTATAATAAATAAACAACAACATTTTCAAGATTAAGTTCTAGTCAATTAATCCATACTTGCAACAAAACGTTTAGCAGTCTATCAAATGTTGTATGATTGTTGTTACAATCTCCTAAATTTTTTTTTTCAATGGTGATCACAAAAAAAGTATCAACGTAAAAAAGTTCTAGAAAAAAAATTAAGAAAGAGAAAAAATGAGGAAATAGTCAAAAAGAGTATCGATTCAAAAAATTAACTTTTCATTTTTCCCTAATGTTCAGACTAAAAGAAAGTCAGGCGAAAAACTCTAATAGATAGTTTAAACAGTAACATATCCTCATAGCAAAATATATCCAGTTTAAATGTAGCAATAGCTACGTCAAATGTAGTTGACCTACAATATTAACCATATTGTTTGTTTTCAATGTCCTGCCCCAACATTGTTATATTCATTGTCATATTATATTGATTCTAATCTTTTCTTTATCAAAATTATTCAAATCTTTTTTTTATTTAAAGACCAATTTTTTATTATTAATTTTTAATTGAAAAATATACTAACATGGCAAATATTTTTGGATCCTCATAAACTAAGTACTCGCTACTCTTTTTTTTTATTTTATCTATTTTATCTATTTTTTTATTTTTATTTTTTTATTTTATTTTATTTTATAATTTTTTTTATGATATCATTTCTATATTTTTGTTAATATGATATAATTATGTTATGTTTTCTCTTTTTTTTTATTTATTTCTATATTGTTATATTACTATTTATTACTATATTAGTATTTTTTTTCTAAATATATTTTTTCTATTTAAATAAAAATAATTAAGATCTTATATATATATATTTTTTTTACGCATAGAAGAGAAGTCTGAGGGATATTCAATCGGAATTGCTGATATTGACGCTCGTTTAGCTGCTCTCCAAAGGTTTATGGAAAATAATATGGAATAAATATTAATTTTATAAATAGTCTTGTAAATAGATTTGTAAATTAACTTGTTTTTAACCTTAGAGAAAATAATTTCAATTTATTTAAATATTTTTACTATTTAAAAAAAAATCACTGTGAAATCACGGTAAAAAATTTTTTAAATTATGGTTTTAATCTAACTTGTTATCTATTAAAAAATTTGTTAGTATCCACTATGCACCTGCTATTCAACTCCGATATAATTCCGATATAAATGGTTTTCAAAAACTTTGGATAACATTCTGACTCCTATACCTATCGTCTAATCAAACTTCTCAGTCCAAGCAGTCTTCTCTCTATTAATAGCAAGGTCTTTGAGTCTTTGATCAACAAATTTCTTATATCCCATCTAATAAGATGGCCGCATCTATAGAAAATTGTTTCTAAAGACATTAACAAAAAGGTCTACATAAAAATGAATCATTGCTAGAAAGATAAATCTTCAGTCAAAAAGTCAGTATTTAGGATATATTTATAGAAATTTTATAAATGAAAATTGTTCGGAAAAACAACTATAACAAAAAGTATATGAATTAGACCAAAATACAGCCACATGACCAAAATTTAGCCAGACGAATGCAGAATGAACCTAATTAAAGCCAATATAAAAAACAAGTTTTTTATCAATACTTTTATGGGTTGGCATTTAAAATATTTAAAAATTAATTGTATTACTAAAATTTGAATAAATAATTTTCTTATCTGAACAAATTTGCCGGTTGACAGCTAAACAATAAGTAAAACAGTTTCAACAAAATTGGATTTATTTAAATTTTATTTAAATTAAAGTTAAAATAAACATGTTCTAAAACATCAATTAGAAACTGATTGCTTAACTTAATACTAAGCATCAAAAAATAAACTTGCCCAAACTTAATAAGGGTGGCTAAATTTTTTAAAAAAATGTTTTCAGGAGTTGCACCACGTCCATGCGCAAGAAAAAAAAAGAATGTATACATGTTGGTAACAATCGGAAAGAAATTTTTTTTAATGTAAATAAAAATCAAAACTAGATTCTAATCCTCATAGCACTCATAGAACAAAAATAAATCTCTTTACCATCATCAGAAACACACCGCTCGCTTCAAATCGGTTTTTCATACGAAACAACTTTTAAAAATAATAAATGTTTTAAAAATATATCAACTAATTGTCTTCAATATTTTATGCATCATCTTTAAATGCAGAGAAAATTTGTCGCCAAACGTATTACAAAATCTTTATCGTGTGAAACCTAAAAACAAATATAATCTTCGAATTAATAACAATCTAATTTGCCATAAAAGCAAAGACCAATAATAACCTTTTTTAATGCCTTTTGGTATTTCAGCTAATAATATGTTTACTCAGGTACCCTAGCAGTTTTATCTGTTTAACTGGAATATTTCAAAAGTTACAGGCATTGCCATAATGGTTCCTTTTTTTAACGTGAAGGCCTCGCTGTTGGATGACAAAAAAGCAAAAATAAATATTCTGTTACCAGTCCTCTTCCAATGTATTTTAAACAAAGTGGGCAAATTTCAAAGAAAAAGAATAAACCAATCAGGAGATATCTTTTTTTAACTTTATTTAATTCGCTTAAAAGCTAATATTGAGGAAATCACAAAACAAAAATAAAATTTTATTTAAAAAGCTCCAGGTTCATAAAATGGAACAGGTTCTTCTTCTGCTTCTTTATCTAAGAACCCTTTCTTAGTTCCTCTCAACTTTTGCCTTCTAATTTTGCATTTATTGGTGGATTTATGATTTCCTTTTGATATGCGTAATGCATCGTGTAATTTAGAAGCGTCATTTATAAACTGCCCAGTATTAACACCTAAAACTTCAAACACTTTTAAAACTTCTTGAAAACCATCATTGAACGAAATTATAGCTGAATTTAAAGGTAATTCTAAAGACCTTTTACCAACATATATATCTTTTGGGCATCTTTTCCAAATAACACCATTCAAGCTTTCATTATTATTCTGTGTTAGACCATGAAGACACTTTTTTAGCAAATCTTGATTAGATAGACCTTTAAATATAGGAATTAAAAGTTTGTGAATAGCTAATGGAAGGCTCAATTTTTTTTGGTATTTAAATAAGTTAGATAGTTTATCTGACTGCCACAAACACCAGCTTGTATTTGACCTTGGACAAAATTGAAGGCGGATTTTTTCATCCTCAATGTCAGAGTTATGAAAAAGTACAGCCCATACAGTTTTCCAGTAAAAACAACCTCTGCATTTTTTTGAAACAATGGCATTTAAGCACTTTCCATTCTCTTTTGAAATTATGGTTACAATACCATTTAGTAATTGATGCCCACGATTTTGCCATGTACCATTAAGAGATACCTGGCAATTTATAGGTTGATTATGATTAGCACAAAGAGCCATTCTGGATTGACATGCAGCTTTATTAGTACTTTGAATAGCAACAGTCTCATATGCTTTGTATAATTTGTTAGTCAAATAGTTAAAGTTTTTGGGGGTCATAGGAGGTGGCATTTTCATGAATGCTGCAAAATTACGCAAAGAATAATAACCAAAAATTAATAATCTTCGCCAAGTTCTCTAAAAGCTACAATGACATTAAAGTTTACAGCTGCATTAGGTTTTCCAGGAGAGGTTAAGATTTGTTTATAACTTTGAAGAGATGTATTATATTTTGAAATAAATTTACATGTATCACACGATAACTGTAACTCGTATGAAAACTCATTTTTATTTTGTAAACCGTTCTTTAGTAACATCTTTGCTTCATTCGAACAACACTCTTTACATATACAATCATTAATCATTGTTTTTAAAACTTTAAAGTTTATTATAATATTGTAGTTATTCTCGTCAAGCTCATTTTCTACATCGTTAAACTCAACATTCTGTTGCAACTTTTTTTCACTTGCACTTTTTTTTTTTTGTTTTCAACAAAGTTTTGATTAAAACTATGAAGGCTTTTATTCTTAACATGTTGGTTACCTCTAAATCTTCTACTTTCTTCTTTCTTCTTCTTTTAATAATTTAGTAGATCTTGGCATTCTTGTGAAAGAACTTAAAACTTTTACTTCTCTTTAAAATAAAACTTTAAATGTATGTACTGTTTTCATACAAATGTATGTCCTGCTGTTTTCACTTAATAATAACTTTACAGTAATTACAACAGCGTGATAGGCTGTTGCAATTACTGTCAAGTAATTACAACAGTCTATCAAATTATTCAAAATATACCCAAAAGTTATCAAAAACCCATGTAGGACCTAACAATTTAATTTTTTTTTTATATTTATTGATACCTGAGGTGCTATTTATAAAACTATCTTTAAAAAACGGTTGCTATTGGCGTTGTTAGGTAACTAGAATCTATCTATCCTATTAAAAAGATGAATTAGACCTATTAATATACAAATTTAACCAATAAAAGTGCTCTAATTATGTTCAACAATGTCTGAAATTAAAAAAAATTACTTAAAAAAAAAAACTCAAAAAAATGTAAAAATTACGTTTTTAATTGGGGTGGACCACCTTAAGTACGGTAAAATAATTTGCCACCTTTACCAGATTCATGCGCTGATAACGGACTGATGCTGTTGATTCTGGTTGTCAAAGAGCTACTTTTTTGTTATGTTGATTGTTAAGTAGTTGCCACCATTTATTAGATGGTTTGCTATTCTTGAAAGAATATCCATACTTTTTGGCAAGTCTGCCAGCATATACCATGAACTGTTTATTTCCAAAACCAATGCCCATCATAGCTCTGTTGTTTGCAAAATCTAGTAACTTTTTTTTCAAGATCAAGCGGCATTAAAAACTTTAGCAGCAGCTCTAAGAGACATTTTAGGTGAACTAATGACACTGTTTATAGCTTCAAGTAACACTTCCTCTTTACATTTCACATATTTACCTCGATTTGGGTGACATTGTTTCTTATTAGGAATTTTTTATTAGTATTAGTCATTCTAAAATGAAAACTTTATGTTAAAAAAATTATTAAAATTTTCATTTTAAGATTATTTTGTTGGTACACAAGGAAAAAGTCCAAAACATCATTTTAAGATAATGAAAAAATTAGTTTTTGCGTAATAGTTAAAATAATAAGTTTTTATGAAATAGTTGAAATAAAATATCTAAATAACATTTAAGACATAAATTTAACATAAACTACTTATATTAAAAGAATAAAATCTAATAATATAAATATTTTACAAGTATGAGTTACTTTTAGACACACGTGAACCTTATTTTGCTCTTGGTCGGAATAAGGTTCATACCTGACCGGATTTTGGTCTTTCTATCAAGTGCATTTAATCCAGAAATACAATCTATAGAAATGAATCAGCATAACTATAAAGCTTAAACTTTTTTAAGAAATATAGTCTAAAATAAATAACATTTCGTTAAGTAATAAATATTTAATGTTTATAAGCTTCAAACTGGTATTTTAAATCTAAAATCTAATGTTTAAATCTAATGTTTATAAGCTTACAAGGTATTTTAAATCTAAAGTAGTTCTTAATAAGATAAATATTTGTTATATATTACTCGTATTTTAAACACCCGCAAACTAAACTAATGTTTTTTTATTGGCTGAGTTCATACCAGTCGCAATAAAGTCGCGTTTACAAGCATAAAGCAGAAACCAAGACAGAGATATTAAATAGAAAATGTGTCTGGAATTTGGTCACTGGATCAAAATTGGTCACTTTACCCTACATCTAAACGGGCTCTGTTTGCTGACAACTCAACGTTATACTCCTGTCCTCACAAAAAGTCTTTTTTTTTGATTATTTAGAACAGACAGTCGATCTTGAATCTGCTCTCACTTCTGTTACAAATTGGGGCTTGCATTAGTTTTCAAATTTTAACTACAACAAAACTCAGTTATTTAATGCAAATAATTATCGCAATACTTTTGACATTCCTCTATTGATGAATGGCAACCCTCTTACTAAACCCTCTTCTTTACGTCTTCTTGGATTATTGTTCACTACTGACCTCTCATGGAAAACATATATA